TATATATATATATATAGTTGTGACTCAGTCTCAAATTTAATGAGCTGAACACTAACAGTAAGGTTCCTCTCCACAGGGGAAGAACCACACATTTTCTTCATCATACTTCTTGGTAGGCTATTCTAGAGCTCTGATGCTATCAGCAAGGCTAATCCAAACAGGCCACAAATACACTGACCCAGAATCAGTCTGTGGTGACACTACTCTCCTGCCACCTGGGGTCCGTCTAATGATGGATCTGAAATGCCACTGCCATCCTAAGCTCTAACAGCACGAAACAAAAATATTCACATTAAGCCCACCATGAACACCAGCCCACTCACTCAATGTGTAAATATGATGCAGTGCTTTTAAATTTACAAATTAAAAGCCAAACACCTGTCAGACATGAGTCCTATCAGAGACCATTCTCACATCCTAGACTTTGATCAGGATTAAGGTTAGCATTTCACCAATTGCTCACCAAGGGATCCTCTGCAGTGAATGGGTGCCGTCAGAATGGCGTCCAAACAGCTGATAAAAACATCACAATAATCCACAAGTAATCCACACCACTATCAGTCCATCAATTAACATCTTCTGAAGCGAAAAGCTGCGTGTTTGTAAGAAACAAATCCATCAAGACATTTTTAAACTTCAAACCATTGCCTCCAGCTCCTCTATCCATAATACTGCTCTCTCTCATAAACACGTTGTCTCATCTGAATCAGGAGAGAAATATGTACAGAATTTACAATATGCAAATTATAACTATTCTACCATTTACAAGCAAAAACAGTCCCAAACAGTTCTAAACAAACATGTAGGTGATTTTAATGTGAGAGGACAACTTTGGATGGACTTTTTCACTGGAGGCTACTGGTTGGCATTGGCAAGCAAAAATGATGGCTCTATGGGACACCACTTTGCTAAATACCCACTTGTCGCTTTTAATCAGAATGTTGCCATTTGTATGTTTATAAGAAACTGAAAAAAGCACAAATGTCAGGGCATGTCAACACTTCTCCAGGGCCCCAAAACACCCTCAAACCCCAGAGGGTTCAGAAAACAAACTAGTGATTTTATTTAACCTAAAACTGCTTTTCAAAGCTATATAGTTCCAGTAATTATTCAATAGTTTGTTCAGAGAGATATCACATAAAGGAGATCTTTGTCAACTAATGAGTAGGCCCTGTTCTTCATCACTTTATACAATAAACCTGATATAATATGATTAATTCCAGATCAGCTAATTGTGCTAACGGCTCTCTAGGTAATCTGGTTCTTCAAAAACAGATGCAGATTTATTAAATTGTAATAAAACAGGTTTATTAATTATTAAAATATATTGACTGAGTTATCCGGGCACATCAATAATCAAATCTGTAATCAGCAATAACATGAAAAATATTTGATATACTGTACATTTAACATTATTAGGCTATTAAATATAAAATATTTATTTTGCAACTTAATTGTTCTAAAAATGCTAGCCATGATAAAAAATGCCAGAAACATGCTAGAAACATTCTAAAGCAGGGGTCTGCAACTAAAATTGCCTGAGGTCCAGTAATGAACACACCTCACCAGCCGAGGTCTGGACAATGATATACCTAAAAACATGAAATTATGTTTTTTTGCCAGAGCAGGGTTTCTGTACGATAATTAAGCAAAAATGTAAGATTTTAAGACCTTTTTAGGACCTGCACAAATACAATTAAAATGACTGTAAAAAGCACGATTAACAGTTCAGACACAAGTTTTCAAAAAATAAAAAGTTTTATAAAATGATACTTTTTTAAAATGAACTTCACATTTAAGCCTGTTAAAAAAGTATAAATTATTATATTAACTGAAACAATTATTATCAATCAATTATTATATTAATAAAATAACAAATATATTTTACTGTCTTCTTAATTGCTAAGATTTTTATAATGCATTATCAGCTGATCCACCAGTTCACATTTAAAACTCTGCATGTTTGCCGCATAAAAAACATGGTTTGATTTTCACCAGTGGTGTGCATGGGGGGGGCAAGGGCTAATAATAATTAATGCTAAACCATGCTAGCAATGAACTAAATCATGGTACTGTATTGACATATTTACTGTGTTAGAAATATGCTAGTAATGTGCGAAATCATGCTACAAACATGCAAGCAACATGTTAAATCATGCAAGAAACATGTTATAACATGTTGAAACATGCTAGCACCATACTAAATCATGCTAGCAATGAGTGAAAACATGCTAGAAACATACAAAATATTTAGAATTTATCATCAAAATGTATATTGATTAAGCAAGGAAACACAACCAAAGCAGTAAAATAAAGAAAAGGCACTGACCAGTTCAGTACAGGTTAACTGTTACATTATTTCAAATTTAATTATGGTTTTATTTAGCAGGTTGTGTGTATTTTTTTTTCTCCAGTGTCAGGGCTAGTAACGTGCATGTAGCTATCCCTGCTGAAAAAAAAAGCTGGCTGGTCTTAGCTGGTTAAACGTATATTTATATTTCTGGATTTTATTAAAGCAAGGAAACACAACCAAAGCAGTAAAATAAAGAAAAGGCACTGACCAGTTCAGTACAGGTTAACTGTTACATTATTTCAAATTTAATTATGGTTTTATTTAGCAGGTTGTGTGTATTTTTTTTTCTCCAGTGTCAGGGCTAGTAACGTGCATGTAGCTATCCCTGCTGAAAAAAAAAAAGCTGGCTGGTCTTAGCTGGTTTAAGCTGGAAGTAGCTGGTCTCCCAGCCTGGCTGAGCTGGTTTTAGTTGGTTGGTCAGCTGGTCTCCCTGCCTGACCAGCTAAAGAAGTGGTCAAAGCCCCTCTAAAACCAGACTGCTGACCAGGTATGACCAGGCTGGACAATCGGCTAAAACCAGCCAACCAGCTTAGGCTGGTTTTAGCTGTTTTTTTTGTTTTTTCCCAGCAGGATTAGAAAATCTTAAAGCTGAGTTCTTAGGCAGATGGGAAACACATTATGATCATTTCTTAAGGGCCAGATATACTTTTGGTACTAATGGTATTGTAAATTGTAACTATTCTAAAACGTATTGTAATAACACTTTACATTATTTCAAATTTAATTATGGTTTTATTTAGCAGGTTGTGTGTATTTTTTTTTCTCCAGTGTCAGGGCTAGTAACGTGCATGTAGCTATCCCTGCTGAAAAAAAAAAAGCTGGCTGGCCTTAGCTGGTTTAAGCTGGAAGTAGCTGGTTTTAGCTGGTCTCCCAGCCTGGCTGAGCTGGTTTTAGT